GTTAGCGGGACGGGATGAGCCTACCGTTTCTTCCCGTTTGTCCCGTCCCGCCATCATTCCGGCTAAATGTCGTCCCATCCCGTCCCGTCCTGTTGGACAGCCATACTTATAACCACTTCATAATAGCGTGGAATATAGAAATAGTGAATCGATAGCCACCTATATTTCAATGAAGTAATGTACTTGGCATTTATATTTGTTTTTGGGTAAGAGGGGTGTCTGAGTTGGTTCATGTGCACACTAGTCTACTCGGTACCTGTTAGGGGCAGAGCTAGAAGGCAATTTACGGGTTTGGCGAACTAATAAGTTCGTCCTAAATCATGTATTTGTGTCATAAAATTCATTAAATATATATAAATTTTAAATTTAGAACCTAGTTATTAGCACTTAAAATTATCGTTGTAGAATGTACCTTTTACCTCCCGCTAGCACAGATACCATGTAACCATGCTCAGAAGGTTTAGAATGATGAAAATAATTAAGCTCCCTATTTTTGTCTTTATTAGAATTTAAATGTAGTTTGCATCTTTAACAATATCGGGTACTTGTGAAGCAATGCTAAGTAGGCAGTAAGAATATAACTATATTAATGATTTACAATATTAAAAGGCACATCATTTAATTTCTTGACAGTGAAGATAAAGAGAAGTGGAATTTTAATTAGAGCCCTTGTTGGACAAATGTGTAGCAGTTTACCAAATTCCAAGAAATGGTCACGTTACTAACACATGCTAATTACATTAATATTAAGAGACTTCTTCTCATCTTGTCTCCTTCATTTGCTATATAGATGACATTGCTTTGAGTCTTATTGCCCATCACAAAGTTAAGAGTTTCCTCTTGACAAGAAAATAAAAAACCAACAATGGCTACTTCTTCAAAATCAAACCACATTCGATCAATCAGTTTACCTGCAAGATCACACCCTACTACTAAAAGAGTTGAAGATGCAGTTAATAACCTCAAAACATTGAAGATATCGACTGCATCGACAGCAGAGACCATGCACGTTGGTCTACTCGGTCTAGAGGAGTTATACAAATGCATGAATGATTTACTTAACTTGCCTCAAACACTTCAAGCCCTTTCTCAATATCAACAAGGGAAATTAGTTGAAGATTTATTGGATAAATCCGTGAGGCTTCTTGATTTGTGTGGCACTATAATGGAACTCGTCTTACAATACAAAGAAAATGTAAGAAACCTTCAATCGTCTCTCAGAAGGAGAAAAACAGATTCAATAACAGAAACCAGCATGGCCAAATTCACCACCTTCAACAAGAAGATTAAGAAGGAAGCTAAAAGATTAGTCTTGGTTTTAAAGCAAATGGATCAAGAAGCTGAGGGCGGATTTGTACCAAAAGATGCAGACCAGGATACAGTAGATATGATTAAAACACTAAAGGAGGCGAATGCAATGCGCATTTCCATTTTTCAAATGTTCTTATCTTTCTTGTCTGTTCCACTTTTGAAGCCAAAGACATCTAAATGGTCATTGGTTTCAAGTTTTGTAAACAAGGGAAGAATAGCATGTGTAGGCCAAGAAGAAAAAATGAACTTGGAAACTAGGCTGGAAACTTTCGAGACTCACCTCGACGACTTTGAAAATGGCTTGGAAGGATTATTTAGGCGCATGAATAGATCAAGGAGCTCTCTCCTTAATATGAAGTCCTGCTAATTTGGCAAATTTTGCTTCATAAAAAATTCTGTAGTTATTGTTAGAAAAATCCTTCTCTCTGTGTGTCTCTCTCTCCCCGCTCTTCTTGAGCTTCGGACCACTGGCCTCCAAGTAGAGCGATTGGAAAAGAAAGGAGTATTTCATTCTTTTACTGTCTTCTATTCTACCTTTCTGATCGAATTAATTGCTCTTCCGAATGACCTAATAATATTGATGAGATTAAAAATCGATGCTTCCTACTACCAAAAAAAGGTCATATATGATGATACTAGAATTCAATATACACGACATTGTCGTACAAATCCATCACATTTATATTTAATAAGGATAGAAGGTGACTCCGAGGGTCTAAGGGTTGGTCAAGAAAGATAGCTCACATGAAGTCTGCAAATAACTCCTCGGCTCTCTGCTGGATGCCGCTAGTACCAGGAATAGAATCTGCACAAATATGCAGAAGTGTAGTATGAGTATCAAATCGACATGTACTCAGTAAGTACCCTGACCAAAATCAACGAAGTAGTGGTGAGAGTTTGATTTTTTTTTAAAAAGATGCTCACTTTACAAATCTATGCAATTCATCAGTATAATAAAGGTATAGGTAATGCACAAAACAACAAAGAAATCTATGCACAACTAAAACAGGAACAAATACAAGCAACCTCAGCTATTTAAGTCCAAAGCATATGAAGAATGTGTCAATTACAACTCATATAAAGAGATGCATAACTTAATATTTATATAAAATTCATAAGTAAGAGTTTATGAATGACTATACATGATAAAGTCTCAATCTCAACAACCAACTGATACTCTCCAAGTTTTCAACAAACTTGTGCGTACACAGCTGATGTAGAACGAGTAACCACGTGACTCCATAGGGGCGAATCCATACCTACACACCATATCCGAGCATTCTAGCTCAATAGTCAATCATTCATCCGTACGGACAACTCACATGCCATAATTAACTGAAATCGCACGGATAACTCACGTACCATAATCATTTCAATCCACACAGATAACTCACGTGCAATAATCATTTCAAACTACACGGATAAGTCATAAGCCATAATCATCTCAAACGCACGCACAACTCACGTGTCATAACCACAATCCATGGGAGAACTCCAATACGCAAGATGTAGTATATATGTATAATGTATGACTAACGACTCCAACATATAATCCAACATACAAATAGCCTTCATGTCAATTACAGGTAAAAGATGCCTCAACATGATCTGTTGCATGAGTACAGTACTAAAAGACCCATCATACTACCCCAAACAAGGAAGAATTTTGGCAATTGAATATATGCTCATAGACTCATATATACATTATCCCAAACACGTAGCACGTAGCAACAAGATTACTTTTAGGAAACAATTCCCATCGAAGTCAACCAAGTTACTTACCTTATTTTCAAGAAAGCTTTAATCCTCAAGAATACCCTTGCCTCGTTCTCAATCCATCGCACGACCTCAACTAGACAAGGGAGTGTCCAAAGATGTCAAACAAAGCTATTGGACTCATTTAATTAATCAAAATCTAGGGCTAACTCAAAAGTCAACTCAAAATCAAACTCGAGCCTCCATGGTCAAACTCCAAAATGAATGTCGAATCTCATTGACCCGCAACCCCACGGGTCCAAATCTATGTTTAGATTTCCAATCTAAGGTCCTTTAGGTATTCAAATCATCATTAGGTGATTTTAGATTTTCTCTAAAAGATCTCTTGATTTCATCTTAGTCCTTGTTTCTAAATAAAACTAATGATAGATTTATGTTATAATATTGGGTGTGAGTTAGAATCATTTTACCCGAACGTAATTTAGCCACATATTCAACAACATCCCTCTTCATACCTTTCCACTAATAGTGTGGGCAAATCGTCCTGTACATCTTCGTGCGAGATGAAAAATCATTCAAAAATTTCCTCAACCCTAAGTCCTTAGCTCCAAAAATGGTGAAAAACTTGGGTACGAAATGGGGGCTATTTAATCATAAGGTTAAACTCAGGCTGAAATTTTAATCCCGTCGTGTCGCGCCAAGTGCCGTAATAGGTCTGCATTTTTGCTGGTTTCAACTGTGACAACATTGCCACCCTTAATAAAATGGTCATAACCTTTTGTATAAATGTCCACATGACGAATAATTTGAACCTTTGGAAACTAGAGTACTCAAAAGACTATAATTCTTTTTTGTTTGGATCATCTCCAAATTAGTTATAAATTTGGGAAATTACTCTAGTTTATAACTAATTTGGAGATTCTTTGACTATAATTTGGGGTGCTTTGAATAGTGACAAAGCATAGGAGTTGGGAGAAGGTTGTTGGCTATGGGAGCATAGAGGAGCAGTGGGGACGTGAGCTATATGTGGACCACGACAACAGAGTGTATTAGAGTAGTTGCGAGAGAAATGTTAGGGGTCTCGAAGGGTTTCTCTGGGGGCCACAAAGGTAACTGGTGGTGGAGTGAGGAGGTACAAGAGAAAGTGAAAGCCAAGCAAGCGTACTTGACGCTTATAGAGAGCATGGATCAGGAGGCGAATAGGATGAACATGGAAGGGTATAGGAGGGCTAATAAGGAGGCGAAGTTAACGGTTACTGTGGCTAAGACTGCGGCATTTGGGCGTTTGTATGAAGATCTTGGGGCCAAAGGTGGGGACAAGAAGCTATACAGGCTAGCCAGGGTGAGAGAGAGAGGAAGACCCGTGATCTGAATCAAGTTAAGTATATCAAAGATGAGGAAGGTAGAGTTTTGATGGAAGAGGCTCAGATTAGGCGAAGATGACAGACATATTTCCATAAATATCTGAACGAAGAGGATGATAGGGACATTGTGCTATACTTGGAGCAATCCGAGATGCGCCGGAATTACGGGTATTGTAGGCGCATAAAAGTAGAGGAGGTCGAAGGGGCTATGCGTAAGATGCACAGGGGTAGAGCTACCAGGCCAAATAAAATACATGTGGAAATTTGGAAGAATGCGGGTAGCAGGTTTGGAGTGGCTCACTAGGTTGTTCAATGTCATTTTTAGAATGAAGAAGATGCCCGATGAATGGAGGTGGAGTATAATGATTCCTCTTTATAAAAACAGGGAAGATATCCAAAGTTGCAATAATTATAGGGGGATTAAGCTGCTAAGACATACTATGAAAGTTTAGGAGAGGGTGGTTGAAGTGAGGGTGAGGACTAGTGTGTCCTAAGAACCAGTTCGATTTCATACCGGGGCGTTCGATTATGGAAGACATTCACATTATGAGGAGATTGGTGGAGCTGTATAGGGAGATAAAGAAGGATTTGAACATGGTGTTCATTGACCTAGAGAAAGCATATGACAAAGTCCCGAGAGAGGTGCTCTGGCAATGCTTGGATGCTAAAGGGGTCCTAATAGCCTACATTAGAGTGATTAAAGACATGTATGATGGAGCTAAGACTCGGGTTAGGGCAGCGGGGGGAGACTCGGAACACTTTTCTGTTATGATGAGGTTGCACCATGGATCAGCTCTTAGTCTATTCCTATTTTCCTTGGTGATGGACGCATTGACGAGACACATTCAATGTGAGATGTCATGATATATGTTATTTGCTGATGACATAATTTTAATTGACGAGACGCGGGATGGTGTTAGGCTGGAGGTTTGGAGGCAGACCCTAAAGTCTAAGGGTTTCAAGTTGAGAAGGACCAAGACGGAATACTTGGAGTGCAAGTTCAGCAACTGTATCTAGGAAGGGGATATGGAGGTGAGGCTTGATATGCAAGTCATCCCCAAGAGAGGTAGTTTCAAGTGTCTTGGATCTATAATACAAGGTAACAGAGAGATTAATAAAGATGCCAAGCATCGTATCGGAGTAGGATGGATAAAGTAGAGGCTTGCTTCCGGTGTCTTGTGTGATAAGAATGTGTTGCTGAGACTTAAAGGTAAGTTCTACAAGGTTGTCGTTAGACTGACTATATTATATAGAGTAGAGTATTGGCCGGTCAAAAACCCTCATACCCAGAAGCTAAAAGTAGCTGAGATGATGTTGAGGTGGATGTGTGGGCATACCTGGTTGGATAAGATTAGGAATGAAGTTATTCGAAAAAAGGTGGGAGTGGCCCCTATAGAGGATAAGATGTGAGAGGCGAGGTTGAGATGGTTCAGGCATATTAAGAGGAGAAGTATAGAAGCCCCAGTTAGAAGGTGTGAACATTTAGCCTCAGTGGATAGCAGGAGGGGTAGAGGTAGGCCTAAGAAATCTCGGGGAGAGGTTATTAGGCGGGACATGGTGCAGCTAGAGCTGACTGAGGACAAGGCCCTAGACAGGAGGTTGCGGAGGTCAAAGATTAGGGTAGAAGGTTTGTAGGTAGCCGAGCGTTTCTCTTTGTCTTACTCAGTTCGCTAGTATTAGTGTTAGTATGATATCTTTTATCCATAGATGGCTATTACTACATAGAATTTGACTGCATTATTGGATTCAATCTTATTTCATCTTGTTGTTATTCCTACTAGTTTCAATTACCTTTTCTTTTTCAGTCGTTCTCTTGCCGAGAGTCTATCGGAAACAGCCTCTCTGCCCTTCCAGGGATAGGGGTAAGGCTGCATGCATCTTACCCTCCCCAGACCCCACTTGTGAAAAACTACTGGGTTTGTTATTGTTATTGTTGTTGTTACTCTTGTGAAGTCAAGCCAAATGCAGATGCCATGTTTCAGTAGTTCAAATCTTTTTCAAACATGCTCCAGAAACGTAAAAATGCTCTTGGGTCTTTCAAGTCCTAATTCGAACATGCGTACAAGTCCAAAATCATCATATAAATTTATTGGAAGCTTCAAATCATAAATCAACGTGTGCATACCAAAACAAAGGGGTAATGTTACTATTTTAGCCTTTTAACCTTTCAAATAGCATGATGGTATATGAACCTACAAAAAGTGAGGGTCTAGAAGTCAAAACGACCGATTGCCTCGTTACTAACTTATAAATTTAAACTATTTGTAATACGTGCTCAATTTCATATTTTGCTTGATCATCTGGGGATATAAAGGCAGTAAATTAAAGTATTTAATGGCTTAAGGAACTGTCTTATGCTCCATCAGAACTAATTAAGAGTAACTTCCTAATTTGATTTCTTAGAGATTTTGGTATTAAAATAGAAGGAAAATAACATGAAACACACACAATTATTTTTCCTGGAAAAGACAAATAGAGATGGAAAATGTATCTCACATGAAAGGATAGACGCCATACAATAGAGGCCTGCGGAGATCAAACCTCAGTAGCATAGTATACGATTCCCCTTTCCTCTCTCCTCCTCTCCTGATGTAAAATAAAAAGATATCAAAAAGAGGAAGGGAAAAGAAACCAAACAGTAGTATTATTTTAATGAAACCTATCCTGAATCTGCTGCAGAAGTGGGGCTTAAAATAAAATGAAAGTCAACATTTCAGCTAGCTGTATATATATATATATATCAACCATTAATTTAATTATAGCTTCTACAAGGAATCTCGTGGTAGCTGACACGAAAGGAATCATCTGCACGTGAAGCCACTCATGCACTACTAATTAGCCTAGATAAATCATCACTATAAATGTCCAAAATGCATATATTAAAATAATGTGATCCAACTGTTTGTTTAGATCTCAAAATCTTTCTAACAGGTCACCTATTCTTCTTTTTCCTGATGGTATGATGCAATCCGCCAATAAACCATATGTGCACGAATTAATACAAAATTAGCTCTATTCCCGAGTCTCCATTATGAACAGATCATTTAGTATTACTATCAATGCTAAATGTATAAATTAAAGGATATTAATGAGTATTGAAATGAAAACGGAGAGATGCCCCCGTACTAGGTAAAATGTGGTATGTTACGTGACCGTATGAGAAGCGGACACATGGAGTCGAAATCGGGAGGAATGTAAAATCGGGCACAATCACCTCATGTGTCACCGAAGAGGGGAAGTCCATAAAAGGATTAAGCATGCTGCGCCCGATAGCATTTAATGAAGAATATTCCACATCATTAAAGAGCAACGACTCATTAATGAGATCTGAGCATCTATGTTTACTGTTAGGTTTCCATTGTCACACTCCGATAATTTTCATTAGTGGTGGGCCCGACCATTACGCCTACTGAGTTATAAATAATAGGCTCAACCATCATTGTAAAAGAATATTTTTTGGAATACATTCGATACATTCAAGACAGCAATCTCATATCTTTTTTCTCTCTCGCTTGCTAATCTTATCATCACTGCGCTCGAAAATCTTGTTCCCGGGCTCTCTGAATCTATCCTTTCATCTACATTTTTAGCTAAGTATCTTGCATATCAGTTGATTTATTCATTATCTCTGGGAACTAATTGACCCATTTGTCTAGAAATCACGAATAAATTTAGCTGTACCGATTTACAGGCAAACGGTTTGGTGCCCACTGTGGGGCCTAGATAATCATGTGGTTAAGTTGATCCTTACTTCTTTCACTCACAACTTTGATCATTCTTGTTTTACCAAGATCACAAAAAAATGGCAATTGATACCGTCAATAATCCTCACGGTCTTGTGGTTCAAGGTGAAAACCCCTATTTCGAGGACTCAATTAGCGACACTCGCAATAAAGGGGAAGATGCCACATCCGTGTATGACAGGTAGTACCCCAGACAAGTACGGGAGGTGACTACAGATGATGCTGACCAAGGGCACGTAGCAAATGCGGTAAGGATCCTGCAAGAACAACATGCAATTATTCTGGGCCACCTCACACAGCAGGATCAGGTTATGACGGAGTTAAAATATGCGCTATCAGGTGCTTCAAATAATGCAAACGGGCAAGATCCAGATCTTTCCGCTGTTCCTAAAAACCAAACAACGCAGAGAATCGACAATAACACTCCCAGGGGCGAAGATGGTTCCAGCGGGGCTGGAGGAAGCAGATCTGGCCTCAATAACGATGACGACTCGTTCAAGGCGTAACTATTGCGATTCATGAAGGAAGTGAACACCCGCATGGACCAAATCCCTGGCGCTCCCCTAGTATTGAAAGGCCCAAGCTCCAAGAGGTACATCCAGTTACCGTACAAGTCGAATGCAACCCCGGAACTGATACCAAAATGATTCAGAATGCCTGAAGTGCCAAAGTATGATGGGACCTCAGATCCACAGGAGCACATCATCACCTACACAGCAACAGTAAAAGGAAATGATTTGGCTCCTCACGAAATCGAGTCCGTACTATTGAAAAAAATTGGTGAGACTCTCACGAGGGGAGCCTTGACATGGTACTTATTATTGCCTGAGCATTCCATAGATTCTTTAGAAACGCTCGCGGATTCATTCATTAGGGCCCATGCTAGAGCCAGGAAGGTACAAGCCTCGAAGGACGACATATTCATAATCGTGCAGGGAGAATCCGTATTATTACGAAGATTCGTTAGCTGGTTCCAAAAAGAAAGTATGTTCTTACCGGATGTCTCAGACAAATAGGTGGCTAAATCATTCACAAAGGGCTTAAATACGAGAAGCTCAGATGCTTCCCAAAAGTTGAAGGAAAGTCTACTCGAGTTTCAAGCAACAACTTGGGTAGATGTCCACAACCGGTACGAGTCAAAGATAAGGATCGAAGACGATCAGGTCGACTTCCCATCATCAACCAAGGGACGGGAGAACAACAAGGAAAAAATGAAAGACGATGTCGAATCAAATAGATGAGGTTCAAGGGGATAGTTCCTACCTTACGAGAAAACGGAAGGTCGTGATAGGATCTTCCGGTCGGTAGACAAGTTTATCAGTGACAGGGGAACTAATCGCGGGAGGAATAACAGATCTCTACAGGATAGAGAGACCTAGGGACCACGAGGTCCTTTCTATCCAAAATTATCAGAATATAACTTTAATATTAGAGTGGTGGAGTTAGTGTCGGCCATGAGAGATATCAAAGAGGCGCGGTTCCCAAGATCATTGAGGTCCGATCCCGGCCAGAGGAACCCAAATTAATGGTGTGAGTATCACGACACTAATGGCCACAGGACTGGAGACTGTCGGCACCTCCGTGAAGAAGTGGCAACGCTCTTAAAAATGGCCACCTAAGGGAATTCTTTAGTGATCAGGCCAAAAACAACTATGGCTGGGACATGGACGACACACAAATTCTGAGAGCAAGAGAGGAACCTCCACGCCAAATGATCAACATGATCTTCGGAGGGAGTGAGATTAACGGGATCACCTTCTCGGCCACAAAGAAGACAAGAGTATCAACAACCCATAGTAAGAGGCTCCGGGAGGACGATATCACGTTCACGATTAAAGACGCAGACGGATTACTACTTCCACGCAATGACACACTGGTAATATATTTAAATGTGTTAAATTTCAAAATTAATTGTGCTTTAGTGGATCCAGGAAGTTCTGTCAATATCGTACAATGGAGAGTTCTAGATCAAGCTAAACTCACCGGGAGCATTGTCCCGACAACAAAGCTCCTTGTTGGATTCAACCTCACAACCATGACAACCCGAGGGGAGATTTTGTTGCTTACGGATGTCGAGGACGTAACGAAGACGGCTCTCTTCGAAGTAGTAGATGGGGACATGGGATATAATATCATCCTAGGAAGGCCATGGCTGCACGACATGAAAGTTGTGCCTATAACGTACCACCAATTGCTGAAATTTCCAACACCGGAGGGGATCAAGTAGATAAGAGGTGATCAACCGGTAGCAAGGGAGATGAATGCAACCTTGGACTCCCATAGAAAGGGAAAAGAACCTGTGGCATAGCAGTTACTAGAACCGACTTCCAACCCCGAACCAGAAGACGTTTCCCCGGGGGCAGGACAGTCGGAGCATTATCATGTACCAAGGTATTTTCTGGTACCGGAAGAAATAGAAGCAACAAAATCCACTACAAAAGAGCTAGAGCAGGTTGTACTGTTCGAAAAATTCCCAGAAAGGAAATTCCATTTGGGAACGAGACTACACTCGTAGCTCAGGTAAGATTTTATTGAATTCCTTTAAATTAATGCCGATTATTTTGCATGGTCACACAAGGAAATGATAGGAATCCCGATAGAAATAGCCGTGAAAAAGTTAAGCTTGGACTCGAGAATACCTCCTGTAAGGCAAAAGAAGCGCCCTATTGCAGAAGCAAGGAATAAATTTATCAGAGAAGAGGTAACCTACCTACATAAGATTGGTTCAATTCGAGAAGTAAGATATCCGGACTGGCTAGCTAATGTGGTAGTGGTTCCTAAGAAGAACAATAAATTTCGTATGTGCTAAAGATCTTAATAAGGCATGCCCGAAGGACTCGTTCCTATTACCAAATATCGATCAAATGATCCACGCTACGGCCGGGCACGAGTTAATGAGTTTCCTCGATGCTTATTCCGGGTACAATCAGATTAAGATAAACCTGGAAGACCGAAAAAAGACTTCATTTATTACAAATTTTGTTACTTACTATTACAATGTAATGCCCTTCAGACTAAAAAAATGCCGGAGCCACTTATCAATGGCTCATAAATAAGATGTTCAAAAAACAAATAGGAAAACTATAGAAGTATATATAGACAATATGCTCGTTAAGTCTCTGGATAAAGGTAGCCACCTGAGACACATGCAAGAAATGTTTGACACACTGAGAGAGCATAATATGAAGCTTAACCCCGAGAAATGTGCGTTCGGGATCGGTTCAGGTAAATTCTTAGGATTCCTAGTCTCACACAGAGTAATCGAGGTGAATCCTGACAAAATCAAGGCCATAGAAGATATCTCAGATTAACTATTCAACGTAAAAGAAGTACAGAGGCTCACAGGTAGATTGGCGGCTTTGAGCATGTTCATATCCCGATCATCCGAAAAGTGTTATCACTTCTTCGTGCTGCTCAAACAGAAGAATAACTTCGAGTGGATGCCGGAATGTCGACCGGCCTTGAAGGAAATGAAGAAGTACCTGTCAAGCCCTCATTTGCTCTCGAAACCTAAGGAATTAGAAACATTGCTAGTCTACCTGGCGGTCTTAGAAGTTGCAGTAAGCGCAGTTTTAGTCGGGGAAGAAAAAGGTACACAATCCCCTACATATTACGTTAGCAAAATTTTATCGGGAGCAGAAACTCGCTACCCACATCTGGAAAAAATGGCCTTAGCCCTCGTGGTAGCCGCCCGGAAGCTGAGGCCCTACTTCCAGTGCCACCCGATAGTGGTGGTGACTGCTTTTCCTCTGAGGAATATCCTCCATAAACCCGAACTCTTGGGTAGGTTAGCCAAATGGGCCGTCCAAGCACCAAAGCCGCGCGATACAACTTCGAGAAAGGGCAGTTATACAGAAAATTATTCCAAGGCCCACTATC